AGACATGCATATATTAAGCCTGAGATAAAGCAAAGTTTTTTATTAAAAGAAAAAAAGGAAATTTGTTTCATCAAAGATGTTGCATTAATTGAAATAATTCTCTATTGCATATACCTTGAAGAATTCAGAACAATATCTAACGAGCTTCTCATACTGTGTTGATGTCGGCAACACCTCAAACTTAGTATGTAACTTTCTGAACTTTATGACGATATCTTCAACCTATATCGCCCAGCAAATTACAACTTAGCAAACCTAGGACAAAACATCGAGAAAAAGAATGGTCCAAAACATTCGATACTAATACCAAAAATCTTTTGATATATCAACTGTTCATTTTTGTGAAGCAATAAAAAACTCCAAAAATTCACAACAGAAGAAAAAAAAAGTAGTCATTTCAGATCATCAATGAGAGAAGTAAATGGCCACAACTTGGTCATATGATAATACCAAAAACGACAACCACTTGCTTAGTATGTCCCAATAATGGTAAATGAACGGTATAGCGAGAAGCAAACTATCTCAAGACAATCACAATCATAACTGGAAATGGTGGTCCATAACCAATAAATATGTAATCACGTGGGATGAAACAGGCAAATAGGAACTTCGTACTAGTAGAGCTCCATTTAAATGAACAAATATGGTTTGAATGTGCAAGTTATCTTTAGAAACCAACAAAACTGAACGAGAATCATTGCAATTAAAACCAAATTGTTTGTCATTTGAAAGACTTGAACACATTCATAGTTCTCAAAAGAGTAAGCTGCTTTAAGCTGAACTATCCCACAAACTACAGACTCAAAAACTTTACAGTTAACATTCATGAGAAATTCCTCACCGCTAAGTTTGGTATGCTAACCGCATATTCATGGATGAAGTTTGAGATGTTTTCAGCTCCAATATCTGCTAGACAAATAGCACATGAAAATATTGCGAAATATGTCTTGTAAGATCTAAAGAAAATACTATACCATTTGAAGCCCTACATACCCCTGGTAGGCTGCTTCAAGACTTCAAGTATACAGAAATAATAAAAGAATAAATAAAATAAAATAAAAAAACATAGAGATGATAGAGGTGCACCTATTGTCTAGCACAAGGCCTAAAATTTAGACAAATTACAGAGACATTACATTATATAACGCAAGGATGTTAATCATTTGTAACATTTTTAACGCAGAGATTATTTAACATCATTTTAGCCGCAGACAATTCTTCCATGTGAGATTGAAGGGTTTTTCCACGGAATAAAATAATTTCCTTTTATGAACCAAAATCCATAAAGGCACAAACCATAGCGGAAATCCTGGTATAACTTGATATGCTCAGTTCAAAAAACTCTATAATTTTACAATGGATTTATCTCTGAATTTTCTTAATTGCAATATCCAACATTTTGTGTACTAACCACTTCTTTTCAGCGCCAGCAGAAATCTTTCTGCATGAGGTTCCAGCAAATGCTCCCCCAATGCCCTGAAGACACGTTGTATAGATGCAACTGGCGAAACTTTAGTTATGTCAATCTTATCCAGTAGCATTAAAAAATCTTCTCTGCGGTCACCTTCGCACAATGCCATCAATAATCTTTCTGCAAGATAGTTGTAACACTCTGATTACATAAATTGTATCATGAGTCAAAACAGTTGCCAAACATATGAACATGGAGTCATGGATATATTAAACAACATAAATATTGCACCATACATATAGAAATTTTAACTCTCATTTTAGGATAAAAGAAAAAAAGAAAGGAAAAAGAAGTACAACAAGAAGCCACCAGAAAAACGGCAGTTATGTTGCAGTAAAAGTTAAGATGTCATGTCCACTTGAATGTTAATCCCATCAGCACCATAAACATTGCAAAAGAGAATAGACGTAATCATATTAAAGAAAGGACAATGACAGGCTGATAGTAGTTCAACACAAATAAAATACATTAGTAAGAAAATCTGGCGACAAATAGTAGTTAGTATTGTACTGGAAAGGTCATTAAGCAACATAAATACCTGTAAAATGACAGAGAAAAAATTGTGAATGTTTCTTCTCCTGCCCCATGTTTAGTTAAACAGCAATATCAAGCAAATATCACTGGACTATTCACATAACTTATGAAGCTATTTGCGCTCCATAACATTTAAACTAAAAAAATCAAAATTATGAGAGAACAATGACAAAGAACGTATATGATATAGCTCATGTAAGCATAAAACAGAAGAAAGGGGGATAAGACAAAAAATAGTAACTCGCTGCAAGATCTAAATAAATGTTGTGAAAGCAGGGTAAATAACCAGTAGATAAAAAATTAAAGCTCTACAATGGCAAGAAGCAGACCTTGAAATAATGATTTCTCTTCCGCTTCATTAGCCGTAACTGAACCAAGAAGTTCTTGAACTTTTTCTTCATTCTTGACTCTCATCCACAATAGCATTTCGTAATAAGCTAAGCGTGGAAGTGAATCAAGATTCTTATCTCTGATTATTTCGTGGAAGAAAAAGAACTCGTCAACCATACCATAATCAACTAGATACATCAGAAACTGTCCATACATTTCCTCTTCGATTTTAAATCCTCTTTCCTTTACCAACTTAAATATTTGGTATGCCTTATAAATTTGCTCCAGTGAAACATCTTCATCATTAGTACTCCTTGCTTTCTCCATGCAAATCCTTATCAATGCATTGTATTCATTAAGGCCCGTTTTTGTTCCCAATCTCCCAAATATCTCAATGGTAGCCTCTGATCCCAGCATCGTGCCACACATTTTGACCAACTTGGCAAACCGATTACAATGTGTGTTCTTATAAACCCAATTATGGTTCCTCACTCGAGGGATGTTTTTCCTCTGCACCGATATACTGTCGTTTGTCATTTTGGATAATATTGATGAGCTGATAGCAAGTCCAAAACTTTGCTTCCCTTCATGGTCATCATCCCAATCCAGGTCCATTTCATCTGCAGTTAAATATATAGCAATCTCTGAATCTTCTAATCACGATATACCCATGATTGCACACTTGTAGTCATAAAATATATTAATCAGGCAGAAATTTGCTAAATTCATATTCCAGAAAAAACGTCACGGGTACAAACAATTTGATTGGCTGATGATTGTACGAAAATATATCCAGACAACATCATCAATAAGCTAAGGAGCATCAGCCCAAAATAAATCTCGCACTGCAGTCTACAAAGTTCGTATTTCAATCCAAAAAAAGTTTTAGTCAATTACACATACCACGCAATAAACTGGACGCATCATTAGACAGCAGCTCTGCTGATTTATCTACAATAAAGAGGAAAAACAAAACAATACTAAAAGGTAAGCACACGAATTAGAAAGGGCCTAAATATGAATCTCCAATTCCCTTCAGGACAGAAAGAAAATTTCTCTACATACCGTCACCACCTCTTCTACCATCAGCGTTCAAGCTGTCACTGACAATAGCGTGGAGAGTGGTACCAGTTGAATTGGAGATCTTCGAGGACAGCGGCGCTTTATACTGCTTGAGGTGGAGATTGACAGATCCCGAGGATGATGAAGATGAAAATGTAATGGAGGAGAGGTGCTTCTTTAAGTCAGCGTCGTCGGCCAATGGTGAGGAGGAGGTGGGACACTTTTTGGCGGTGCCGGGGCTGGCGGAGGCCGACGAAGGTTTCTTCTTCTTGGCGGCGGCGGAGCGCCTAGAAGCGAGCCCAGCGGCGGAGCGGAACAGGGAGACTAGGTTTTGAGTGGTTGAAGGACGCATAAGGACATGTGCTAAAGGGAGAAGAAGAAAAAGTTGCAGAATTCATTTGGTTGGCAATTTTTGTTAATTTTTTTACATCTTTTAACTCAAAACTCAATATATATCTATATCTCTAGTATATATTTATCTATTAGAACTACTAGATGGCTCCGGCTGTGCTCCGGGTTGGCCCTGTCATATAGTTTTGAAGGACACTCAAGGCAAAACAACTTCCAAAAATTCCACAAAACAGGGCCTGAACAAAACATGAAACAAGCTGTCTTTCTTCTACAACTTAGGCATGCTCGTACTTGAAACTCAAAGCTGAACTTAACACTTACAAAACACTTTACTCTCCGCCATTGAAGTACAAAAAGCAGAGGCTTCATTTAAACATCAAGGCAAGGCTCAAAACAGAAATTAACAACCAAGCCATTCCATGCTATAGGTCCCTTTTTATAAAATCTTAAAATCTTCATAAAACTAAGCACGCTTTCACTTGAAACTTGGCTGAAACTAACACCTCCAAACTTACATAATACAGCAAGAAATTTCACAAACAAACACAGCCAGAACAAATACATATCAAGCTCTTATCCTTTTCAAGCAAACTGGTACTAGGCATGCTAAACACATAATCTCAGCCAATTAATAGGGGTATAAAGCTCACCAAATTACCGTGAAAACAGAGGAAGGCAGGGGCTCGGTTTGGTCGGTTCTCGGCTCGGGTTGCTGCCAGAACGGTGCTGTTGATGGCTCTTGGTTCTCGGCCTCGTCTCAGCCCCTAGTATTTCTCGACTTCAGTCTTGGACTGCCGCTCTCACGGGGTGCTCAGATGTGCTGGGGAAATTCTCGGTTCGCCGGACGTGAGGTGAAAAGCTTGGTCGGAGGTCTGATGTCCCGGTCGCTGTAAATCTGCCGTTCGGAAAATCGGGCTTCAGCCGCGACCGAAGGGCCTGCTCTCAGCCGCAATAGAGGCCTGCTATCGGCACCCAGTTGTACTCCTCTTGCCACGAAGGGTCGGCTCTCGACAATCGCGCCTAGTTTCGCCTTACATTCGGAAGTCTGCTCCCGTCAGCCGCGCCGCTGCTCGTTCCTCGGTCGCCGGCGCTCGGTTCGCTGGCCGGAGGTCTGACCTCGAAGAGATCGAGGCTTGGTCGGACTGGAGGTTAGAGGCCGAAGTTGCGGCCCGACGTCGGAGGTTGAGGCTCGCCGTTCGTCTCCTCGACGGGAAGTGGCGCTGCTCGGCCGAGGAAGATGGATGGAAAAATTGAGCGATTTCCGCGAATTTTCTGAGGGAGTTGGGATAATTTGAGAGGCGGCTAATGTTTAGCTGCTTAAATAGGGTGTTAGGGCTTCCTCGTGGCGGCTGAAATGGCGGAAGAAATTAGCTGATAATTTGGGGGAGTTGCCGGATTCTGCAGAAGCCGTTAAGCTAGGGCGTCGGCGCGAGGAAGGGAGAGGGAGAGAGTTTCTATGGGGGTGGTTTATTTATTTAAATGGAATGGTCAACACCCCATATTATTTAAATGACCCTTTAAAAAAACATTTGTGTAAGTAACACTTTCATTAAATAAAGATAAATAAATAATTAAAATACCTAAAATAACCTTAGATATTAAATGATTATATTACCCTTCTTGTATTTTGTATTACCAACTTTGTAATAATAATAAAAAAAAATTATTCGAAAAAGAACAAATTTGCTCGTCGTCGATCTCTCTCCCTCTGCTAGTCTCTCTCGTCTGTTTCTCCTCTGTTGAATAATGTAAAAACAAAATCTTATAATTAGACATAAACTATGGAGTCCATATTGCAAAAGAAATATAGTGATGGGAAAAAGAACAAAAAAAAAGCATTATCACCTTTATTTTACATGAAAAAATAAATAATATTAGACCTATAATGGGTTTAATATCTTTACAATGACTTATATGACGAATATACGGTCGTTTAAGGTGGATTTTGTCGAAAAACAATTATAACGACTGTACATTCGTTATAGTTGTTTTTCTCAACAAACGCGCTTTCTTTATGGTTTTTTTTATTGAATTACTTGATAACAATTGTATATTCATGTTACATGTCATCGGAACGATAGTTTGAAGGTGTTAGAGCGTCGAAACACTCATAAAGAAACTCTTTTTTTGAAATAATAATACTTGTTTTTTTTTTGTTTTTGAAAAATGGAAAGATCATGTAATATATTTGTAAGTTCGTTATTTTAACTTAAAATGACCAAAATTAGACCTATAACGAGTTTAATATCTTTATAGAGTATTATATGACGAATGCACGGCCGTTTAAGGGGGATTTGGTCGAAAAACAACCATAACGAATATGCATTCGTTATAGTTGTTTTTCGATACAAACGCGCTTTCTTTATGGTTTTTTCGATCGAAATACTTGATAACGATTGTATATTCATGTTACATGTCATCGGAACGATAGTTTGAACGTGTTAGAGCGTCGAAACACTCATAAAGAAACTCTTTTTTTGAAATAACAATACTTGTTTTTTTTTTTGTTTTTGAAAAATGGAATGATCATGTAATATCTTTGTAAATTCGTTATTTTAACTTAAAAATGACCAAAATTAGACCTATAACGAGTTTAATATCTTTATAATGTACTATATGACGAATGCCAGTCGTTTAAGGGGGATTTGGTCGAAAAACAACCATAACAAACGTGCATTCGTTATAGTAATTTTTCGACACAAACGCGTTTTCTTTATGGTTTTTTCGATCGAATTACTTGATAACGATTGTATATTCATGTTACATGTCATCGGAATGATAGTTTGAAGGTGTTAGAGCGTCGAAACACTCATAAAGAAACTCTTTTTTTGAAATAAGAATACTTGGTTTTTTTTGTTTTTAAAAAATGGAAATATCATGTAATATCATTGTAAATTGGTTATTTTAACTTAAAAGTGACCAAAATGAGACCTATAACGAGTTTAATATCTTTATAATGTATTATATGATGAATGCACGGTCGTTTAAGGGGGATTTGGTCGAAAAACAACCATAACGAATGTGCAACGAATGCACATTCGTTATAGTTGTTTTTCGACACAAATGCGCTTTCTTTACGGTTTTTTCGATCGAATTACTTGATAACGATTGTATATTCATGTTACATGTCATCGGAACGATAGTTTGAACGTGTTAGGGCGTCGAAACACTCATAAAGAAACTCTTTTTTGAAATAACAATACTTTTTTTTTTTTAAAATGGAAAGATCATAAAGATCCTGTAATATCTTTGTAAATTCGTAATTATAACTTAAAAATGACCAAAATTAGACCTATAACGAGTTTAATATCTTTATAATGTATTATATGACGAATGCAAGGTCGTTTAAGGGGTATTTGGTCGAAAAACAACCATCATAACAAATGTACATTCGTTATAGTTATTTTTCGACACGAACGCGCTTTCTTTATGGTTTTTCGATCGAATTACTTGATAACGATTGTATATTCATGTTACATGTCATCGGAACGATAGATTGAAGGTGTTAGAGTGTCGAAACACTCATAAAGAAACTCTTTTTTTGAAATAACAATACTTGTTTTTTTTTGTTTTTGAAAAATGGAAAGATCATGTAATATCTTTGTAAATTCGTTATTTTAACTTCAAAATGACCAAAATTAGACCTTAAAGAGTTTAATATTTTTATAATCTATTATATGACGAATGCACGGTCGTTTAAGGGGGATTTGGTCAAAAAACAACCATAACGAATGTACAGTCGTTATAGTTGTTTTTCGACACAAACGCGCTTTCTTTATGATTTTTTCGATCGAATTACTTGATAATGATTGTATATTCATGTTACATGTCATCGGAGCGATAGTTTGAACGTGTTAGAGCGTTGAAACACTCATAAAGAAACTCTTTTTTTGAAATAACAATACTTGGTTTTTTTTTTTTTTTTTGAAAAAATGGAAAGATCATGTAATATCTTTGTAAATTCGTTATTTCAATTTATAAATGACCAAAATTAGACCTATAACGAGTTTAATATTTTTTTTTAATGTAGTATATGACGAATGCACAGTCGTTTAAGGGGGATTTTCGAAAAAACAACCATAACGAATGTACATTCGTTATTGTTGTTTTTCGACACAAACGCGCTTTCGTTATGGTATTTTCGATCGAATTACTTGATAACGATCGTATATTAATGTTACATGTCATCGGAACGATAGTTTGAAGGTGTAAGAGCGTCGAAACAGTCATAAAGAAACTCTTTTTTTGAAATAACAATACTTGGTTTTGTTTTTTGTTTTTGAAAAAATGGAAAGATCATGTAATATCTTTGTAAATTCGTTATTTCAATTTATAAATGACCAAAATTAGACCTATAACAAGTTTAATATTTTTATAATGTATTATATGACGAATGCACGGTCGTTTAAGGTGGATTTGGTCGAAAAAACAACCATAACGAATGTGCCTTCGTTATAACGAATGTACATTCGTTATTGTTGTTTTTCGACACAAACGTGCTTTTTTTATGGTGTTTTTGATCGAATTACTTGATAACGCATGTATATTAATGTTACATGT